AGCTGCATATTCACACATTTTAGCAGTAAAACTGACATTCTTGTTTCCTCTGCTGTAAAAATAATAAAATCTGGAATTCAATTCTTTCAGATTCTTGAAACAGGATCTTTTAAAGAAAACGCATCGATCTCAGCTTTCAGTCCTTTAGAGCCAAATAACCCCAGTTAGTTGGATTTCTGCTGTCTGGACCATTTAGTTAAAACATGGTTTGTAGAATAATTGTCACAATTAATGATTTTTAAATGGTTTTTGTTTCATTTTATTTATGTCGTTAATGAAATAATAAATGTATTAATGATTTTGTGTGGACTTCAGAAGGCCTGTAAATGTACTTCCTGTTGCCTTTTCTTCTTCTGGTCGACCAAACATGAACGGCTGCACATCGTCTGATTCAACCAGACATCAGCCTAAAAACCCAAACAGTTTCTGTCATCACAGAAACTCCAACAAACTCCAGAACCAGAGATTTCCTAACTGAAGCTGGTTTTACAAAAAACACGATAAAGCAGAAGTCTGGGTTGGTCACAGTCAGACTGCGGTCAGGGAGTCGGTTTTCTCGGCTGCAGGAGGTTTAAACCTGGAAGCTGCAGCTCCTCTGGATTCCTTTTTTGGCTCATATTAAGCAACTCCTCCACATCACTGACGACCTTCTCACAGTAAATCATGAGCCATCACCCATTTCTTCACTGCCAGTTTGTTTCTAGGTTCACTTGTTCGGTGGTTTCACACAGATTCCCACAATCAGCGATAACTCTTGCTCTGATGGGCTTTCACGGCTCTTCATGAAAACTTGTTCTGCAAGTTGAAGTCATTTAGTGTGTTTGGAAGCCAAACACTGCAGAGATGTCTGCAGCTTCTCAGGAGCACAGAATGACTCCAAAAAGTTCATTTAGTTCAGTCTTTTAATTCAAAATGTGAAACTAAAACATAGATTTCATCAGAGATGGATTAACCAGCGGTTTGAGTTACACGTTGGAGAAAATGTGTATATAGTAGAACTGTATTAATGTTTGGAGGTAAATTAAAGGTGCAGTAAAAACCAGAGCTACCGGTATGCTAACCTGCTAATGCGCTAATGGCAGAGATAATTTTTAATTTGGTGTTTTAGCATTAGCTCTTGACAATACAATGTTGTTATATCACTTTAGCATTAGCAGGGCTAATGTTTATGATTAGCGCTTTAGGGTTAGCGCAGCTAGCTTTTTAGCTGGCGCCACCACGCTACGTTACTTACCTGTCAGTAGTTTGGAAAAGTTTCTTCTGCCTAAAATGTATTTTGTGATATTTTTTTATTAATTTATGTTAACGAGTTTTTATTTTAGTTTTTAAGTTACTATGTAACTTTAGATTTTTTTTGCTAAATCTTTTGATCAGTTACTCAGTACTTATTTAGATTAAATGACTCAATACTTTTTTACTTTTACTTGAGATATTGTATTCATATTTATGTCTTGTTCTCTCCTGTTTGGGAATGTTTCCTGTTTTAATAAAGTTATTAGGGGGGAAGAGCAGAAGTGAGGAGAGGAAATGGAATTTATACATGAACAGATTTCAACCCTTCAAAATAAGAGCATGAATATAATCATCTAACAAGAAGATTTCTTAATAGTTGATCTAAACTTCAACACAGATGTTGAACTTTATTCAACTGAATTTTTACAAAACTGTCATGTAAATGTAAACACTTAAGAATTTATCTGAAGAATGAATTTAAGAGAAGCAAAATGCGCTAAATGTTTTCAAAGTTAGCAAAGCGCTAAGCTAAGAGTTAGCTCTGCTATTAGCGCGTTGTTTCCTGAATTGTTCCGAGGATTTAACCGGGTCAGAACCATCTGAGCTGAGTGGTCTGGGGAAAATTTGAGAAAATTTCTCAAAGTCAAACTGGTGTCAGAATGCTAACTGGGTGGGTAACTGGGAACCTGCTGTGACCCGGTTCGACTCTGGGTGCTGGTTCTGATGGACGTCCAAACTGAACCGGGTTCATCTCTGCTTTCACCAGGTGACTTTTATCGGCAGTGGAGAAAATGTTCTCAGTTTTTTTGTGAATTTCTGTATGAATTTTGAGTCACTTCTTTAAATTATTTTTAATTTCAGTGTAATTTTAACCTCCAGGCGTTTCCTTACCAGACCATCTGATTACATAAACCTCTTTAATCCTCTCTTATCTGCCACATAAACAGTTTTATGAAGAGTTGTTTGCTCGATTCTCGCTGCAGCTCAGAGATTTTAGTGTAAACTCAGGTAATCCCAGCGTTTCTTTCCTTCATCAGCAGGATTAACGTTTCAAACTAAAGTCTGTGTGATGGCCGGCCTGCAGCGTTCAGGTCTCTACAGGTACGAGAGCCTGTCACACAGCACAGATCTCTGATTCCCTCCGCTCACTCCACAGACTGAAAACAAACGTTTTCTTTTTCATTTTACTCACAAAAACCTGTTTAAACAAGAACAGAAATAAGATTTCCTCACAGCAAAGCTGCAGAATGTCCCTTTAATTTCACTTTGACTAAAACCTGATTTATCTTCAAAAACACTGAGGCTGAAAATCTTTCTGGGGTGTAAATACTTTACTAAATACTTTATCAAATACTTTACTAAATACTTTATCAAATACTTTACTAAATACTTTATCAAATACTTTACTAAATACTTTATCAAATACTTTAGTAAATACTTTGGTGCTAAAACTGTTTCCTCTTTGAGGCTCAGATGAGAAAGCTGCGAGGGAAACAGAATAAAAACCGTTTCCTGGACTGACTGGGGTCAGTTAGGAGGTCAGAGGTCAAACGTCACTCACCGTAGCAGCAAAACAGGACCAGGGCGATCGAGAGAGAGAGAGGGACGTTCATCCTGGACGAGGCGCTGGAGCCGACTGAGACTCTGAGGGAGGGGGGCGAGGAGAGGGGGAGGGGGCGTGGCCTCAGAGAGAGAGAGCTGGATCAGAACCGGATCAGAACCAGAATAAAACTCCTTTGGGACAGGAGCAGACAGAACCATGATGACATCACAGAACACGATGATGACATCACAGGAAGTGGAGGAGCTGTCTGGAGAACAGGGACAGCATTCAAACTTCCCGTAGAAATGTTCTGATGGGATCCGAACCCACAACCTTTTTCTCACAGCGTTAGCATTAGCATTAGCAGCAGTGGTGGGGCGGGGAATCGGGCAGATCAGATGAGACCCACTTTTTCCTTCCAGCTGTTTTAACTCAAAGTTAAAACATGAGAAAAACGAGAAGATCAAACTGGAGGAGCTGTTCGGTTTTACAGTGTTAAAGCCGTTATCTGTCACCACATCAGTTACAGCAGAGAACATTTTACACACACACACACACACACACACACACACACAGACAAGCAGACGTTTGGAGGACCGATGGTATCTACCAACTTAGTATGCTAAATGTTAAACGTCAAACTAAATATTTAGTTAGCAAACTAGTTACTTTGCAAGCTAAATATTTTGTTAACAAGTTAAATATTTAGCTTCCTGACTAAATACATGCCTCTGAGGAAAATATTTCATTATAAAGATAAATATTAAGTTTGAAGCCAAATATTTAGCTTTCTTTCTAAATATTTGACCAGCAGGGTAACCATTTAGTTTTTAGCCTAGATGATTAGTTTACAAACTATTAGAGGTTAAAATGTCTTGGTAACTTAACTGCCAACTGGTTTACATCATTTAGCTCAGATGTAAATCAGTTGGAAAGCTAAAAGCTTTATAAACTAAATTAACGTTTTGTTTCATCTGAATCCTCTTCCTGCTCCACTGCTGCTCGTAGTGAAGCAGAACCAACAGATAAGAACAGGAAAGGATTGCACCATTCTGGGTTCTGGTTCTGTTCAGCTTGGCTCCCAGTCAGCCCTCCCCAGTTAAACAGATTTATAACTCCATTGTTCCCAGTGATGCTTCCAGAGAAGAATAGGGGTTTCCTGATGGATTGTTGGCCTGCAGACATTTTTCCTGCTGAGAAACACGAGGAGTGTTTGCTGAGGCCAGAGGAGGATTTTATGGCTCCAGACTTTCTTCTCTTTTGGGTTAAAAAAATGTTAAAAAGCTTCTAGATGAAGGAAACTCAGTTTCTCTGTTTTCGATGACTCTGGGTGCGTCACAGCGCCCTCTGCTGGTTGACTTCAGGTAAAGTCACTTTAATGTCTGGGTTATTATCTGCAGCCTCTGTTCATCTGAATCAGAGGCTTAAATCAGAAACGACCCGAGCGGAGAGCTGGACGCTGATTGGCTGTCGGGCAGCGGTGAAGCTGATTGGCTCCTGATGGACGTGGGAGCGGCGCAGGTTTGTGTCACCTGTCGGATCTGTGGTGGCTTCGTAACAGGTGTTCTGTCTGTCTGTCATACCCGTAAATCCAACATACCTTACGGTAATGCGCATGCGCACATCGATGTTACGTCACATACCGCTTACTCAGCAGGTTTCTTATAAACCCGTCATACCTGTAGAAGTTTCATTTTGTGTTTTGTTTCTCAGAAGTTTACAGCAAATTTTATTTAATTAAGCTGCTATGTTAATCAAACATATTAACATAAATGACTTTTGCTGTTTCCAAACTGTAAACAAGACATTAGTCCCGTTTAGCGTCACTATTGCTACAAATACTGTTTGACTACAAATTTGGTGGGGATATTTTGTCCCTATAGTTAATCTACCTTTTTAATATTTTAATACCTCTGAATATGAACCGAATATGTCCTAAAACAACATGAATAACGCTGGATGCTGACCGAAGCTGTTGGGCAACCAGCAGAACAACACCTCTTTCTGGACTCTGCGTGGAAATAACTAGATTTTTCTTATTTTATTTTTTATTTTTTATTTACCATAAACTTTTTGAGAAATAAAACTTCTACAGGTATGATGGATTTATAAGAAACATAACATCGATGTGTGCATTACCACAAGGTGTGCTGGATTTAGAGGTATGACGGACAGAACACCGGCTCGGGGTGAAAGGGTCGCACTGATCGTTTCTGTTTGAAATAAACTGTAGGGAAGGATCTCACAGTGAGGTGCGAGGGCCCCCAGGGGACGCACCAGACTTTCCTGATGTCCTGCAGGGACGTCATGACACATCAGGACGGGTTCCACCGTATTTCACATTCAGGAACATTTTAAATGTCCCTGTTACAACCAGAGCTGCAAATAACAGGAAACAGCAAGACGCTGTTGTAGGGCAGCTGCTTCTAACGCTACATTGTAAAAAATTAACACCTGCTGTTTGTTTCCATGGAAACCACCTGAGCTGTTTGATGTTTAACAGGTAATAAGGAAGTGACCTTTGATCTCAGCACAGACTCAGTTCCCAGAGGGTTGGAGGGGAAGCAAAGCGATTTGTTGGAGAACGTCTCTGTTGCTGTGGATCTGTTGTCAGAAAAACAACAGAAAACAAGAAAAAGCGACAAAAAGGTGTCGACCTGCTGCTGGTCAGGATGAAGCTGGACGTGAAAATCGAGATGCTGAAGTTCAGCTTCACAGTCTTAAACTCCATCTTCCTGGTGAGTTTCTCCTGGATTTTCATCATCAACTTGTTTAAATCAGGTTCTTCATGGCTTCTAACTGGAGATTTGGTTTTGTCATGTTTTTAAATATTTCTACGTTTGGTTTATTCTCCATCCATCCATTTTCTCCCACCCTTGTCCCTAGTGGGTCGGAAGTGCTGCTGCCTCTCCTGTGAACGTTTCGAGTGAGGCGGGGTCACTTGGACAGGTGGCCTGGACAGGTCGGTCTGGACAGGTCGGTCTGGACAGGCGGCCTGGACAGGTCGGCCTGGACAGGCGGTCTGGACAGGCGGTCTGGACAGGCGGTCAGTCTGTCGCAGGGCTGGTTTATTCTTCAGAGTTTAATATTAACTTGTGATGTGAAGAACATTTCCTGTTTCCAGATCCAGTTTCGTTGCCTTCTGTTCCTCCTGGTTGTTTTGTTTGTTGTGACAGGAAGTGGCTCTTTGAAGCAACAGGAAATGACTGTGGTGAATCTTTTCTGTAAAGGCATTCCCCAAGGCTCAGCACTTGGAACTGGAAATAATTTATCATGACATATGAAGCTGCTTCTTGTGAGGTTTTAGCCATGAAGTGCTACAGTGTATGACATGCTAAGTGTTTGTCCCTAAACCAATAAAATAATTTATCAATTATTGATTTAGGGACCCAGGGTTCAGACTGAAAGGTTATAGTTTCAGACTTTTGCATCATTTTATGACTTAAGTGATTTAACCGTTTAGATGTTTAGAAGTATGGTGGCCCAGAAAGATCAACAAAAGGCAATAATCATAACAAAATGTGCACAATGGACTTTATGATAGCATCCGTCTAAATCTGGCTTTGGCATAAATTCAGTTTAGCATAAATTTCATTTTAGTATTAATTACATTTTAGCATACATTTTGTTTTAGTATAACCTAAATTTTGTTTAAGCAAAGAATTCAGTTTAGCATAAATTCCCTTTGAGCATACATTTCATTTTTGCCATATCCTAAATTTTGTTTTAGGATAAGTGTTTAGCGTAGCCTAACATCAGTTTAAGCATAAATTTAATTTTATCCCACTTCAGCTTACATTCCGGTTTAGCATAGCTTCAGTTTTAGCTTCTGTTAGCATGTCCAGCATGTCTCCTCTGAAGGTCTTTGCTTCTCCAGGCTCAGCTTCTGTGTTTCGCTCACCTGTGACCTGTTTCACCAACATAAACATGATGCAGGTCTGAACTTCAGCTGGACTTTCTCTGCAGGTTCTGGGTCTGAGCGTTATGGGCTGTGGAATCTGGATCCTCTTCGACACCGGAAGCTTCCTGAATGTCCTCTCCTCTGGTACCAAAATAAAAATAAATACTTTTATTTAAAGGAACAGTGCAACATTTATTAAGGGTGAGGAAAATCTCCCCAGAGGAAAAGATGAGAACTGAAATTTCCAGTAAAGTAAATGTAAATAAAGCAGATTTTATTTCACAGTGCTTTTTTCCTAATGGCATCAGAGTTTGTAGGAACTTTTATTTAATAATCCATCACTTCCTGTTTCTCTGGGCATAAATATGACTCAATATAAACCTATTCATCTTTGTCATTTGAAGTAAGGCAGATGGGATTTTCTGCAACCCAATGTATGAAAAAAAAAGAAAAATTCCTGCTAAATTTGCAATAGTTTCAGTCAAACTGTTTGGATTCTGGAGGCTTTGTCCCGATCCACAACAAAACTGGACCTGATGCTGACGGTTCAGAAACTTCCCAGGGAAATCCTGCAGATCACAACACAGTCACAGACACTGTGGTGGAGTACCACAGCCAAATAAAGTCACACAAGGATAGAGTCAAAATATTACAAAAATAAAGTTGTAAAAGAATAAATCGAAACAATATGAGAATAAAATTATAAACTTACAAGAATGACGTTACATGAGCATAAAGTAGGAATGTCAAACTCCAGTCCTGTCCTGCAGTTTTTAGATGAGCTACAGGAACAAAACACTGGAATCAAATGGCTTCATCTCCTCCTCTGGTGTAGATCAGCTCTCCAGAGCCTTAACGACCTGATTATTCTGTTCAGCTGCTGCAGCAGAGTCTAAAAGCTGCAGGGCGGCGGCCTGGACTGGAGTTTGACACCTGTGGCATAAAGCTAAATAATATGGCAGTAAAGTCACAATATTTTGACTTCATTTTCTAGTTTTTTAATTATTTCCTTAGCATGACCCAGTTAGCATCGGTCATGTCTGGTGGTGGTGTGACCTTCACCCTGAATCCATCTGAGTTTTGTACTTTTATTTTTTTTATATTTTTTGTATTTTTATGGTTTTTGTGTTTTTGCGTCCAGAGGAGCTGCAGGTGGTGGCAGTGGGCCTGTTTATAATCGGTGGAGTGGTGGCACTGGTCAGCCTGACTGGGTGTACTGGAGCAGCCCTGGAGAAACGGTTCCTGCTGCTGGTGGTGAGTTTCCCATGATTCCCTGCTGAGGGGAAACAGCTGCTACCTGCTCAACACTCGGCGCTCTTCCTCCTCAGTACTTTGGCTTCCTCATCGCGCTGGTCCTGGGTCAGCTGTACGTCACCGTCCTGCTGCTCCTGAACAGAGACACGGTCAGTCATCTTCACAGCGGGTTTATCGCGTAAAATCTACTTTTTTTCTTTCCAAAATGTTTTAATGTTTTTCCCTCATCAAAAATAAACCTGGAGTTTTGCTTTGACTCTTTCATATCTGAGAAATACTGGCAACCATTCAGCTGTAAAAAACGCCTGGGTGGACCTAGCCCCGCCTCTGAGGCGCAGCTCCTCCCCCACCCTGCTCCTTCAGACTAGCCAGCAACAATTAGCAAACATCTGCTGAGCTCATTCCAGGAGCTGCTGCTCAGAGCAATGCTGGTAAAAACAGGAAAGGGTTAATAGAGGAGCCATGTTGGGACGACTTCCTGGAGGCGGAGCTTCAGAAAGAGCAGGATTTTTTAAAGAGACAAAGGCCCAATTAAATCAGGAAGTAAATGTTTCTTTGACATCATGTTTGATATATTTAGCATTTTTATAACAAGTGACAGTAAAAAAGTTACTTGATTGTGCTATAAAATGGCACTAAGTGCCTGAAAACACATAATACTACCTCTTTAACTTTTTACATGAAGAAATCAGTTGGTTTGATTCTCGTCCACCTAGAGGGAGATCATTTAAAGAGTTTCCAGGGTCAAAGGTCATTGTCATATTCCTTCCATGTCCATTGCTGGAGTCTATCAGAACAGCTGAAAACTGCTGAAGCTCCATAAAACAGCTAAACAAGCCTGAGGCTCGGATGTTAGCTCAAAAGTCTAACCCTGAGATTAGGAGGAAGTCATGAGGAGACCTAGCAGGCCAGCACCATATCCTGGGATTTCAAAGTGCAATGTGGATTTACTCTGCTGTGCACAGAAATCATTGGACAGAACACCTAAAAGTGAGGCTAGTAACGGTTGTGAAAATAGTGAATAGTGAACAGAAGAAGGAAAAAGTCCAATTTTTCCATACGTAATCAGTTTGTTTCACTCAAAAGACAAGAATGTAAATGTCGATATTGTCTGGCTGTTTAGGCTGCGTTCACACCAGCGCTGTTTAGTCCACTGTAATCCAACTCCAGTACATCTGCCTAGAAAGTCTGGTTTGCTTGTGGAGGTATGAATGCGTAATCAAACTCTCAGGGGCGGATCTACTGGGGTGGCATGAGAGCCTTGCCACCCTGTTGCCACCCCAGCTAGCGACAATGAATTCAATAAATAGTTATGGCAAATCGGACATTAAGCGCATGAAACTCTTTTTTCCGACAACATTGAATGCAACACAATGTAACCTGACACCCACTGCTAAGTAGCGGGAAGTGCGAGAGAAGGACAGAGCGCCAGGCAGCATTGGTGGATAAATATTACTGGACTGGACATTAGTGGTTCATCGTAAGTCACACATGCGCCATTGCTGTCCATTGAGTCAGGAATATATCAGTGGTCAGGACAATACTACAACCACGCAAAGAATCAGAAC